ACAGAAAGCAAACAGGAATTCCAGCCCCAGGGAATTGAGATGCTCTTTCAATATTGCTTCACAAATGTGTTCTCTACTGCAACTGCAGCTAAAAAGATTTTTACCAAGCACACCAAGGATCTATAATGGTGCCTTAATATTAGATTGTAGTGGTGTGAGCACAGCAGAGCCTGAGCCTTCGGTACAGACTGCAGTGCCTTCAGTCCAGCACACTGCTGGGGGTAACACTGCAAATGCTCTTTCCTCTGCCACAGAGAAAATTGATCCCCAGGATCCAGGAAAATAAATCATCAGTAATGCTGGAGTGGAAAAAAAAACCTCCCTGAGCAATTTTCTTGCCAAAGGCCTTGGGCCAAACTCATGACTAATAATGGTGATGGATGAAAGGACTTTTCTGAATGCAGCCTCGATCACCCCTGATTATAAATATGCAAAATACCTTTATTCTGCTCATAATAATAAACCATACTGCAGAGAAATGTTACAGCAATTCCACGAAGGCTGTGCAAGTAAAAATGGTAAGAAAATGGGTGAATTATCAGCATTTACCACAGAGGTTCCCTGTAAGCATGCCAGCAGCGAAGATAAGGAAAAAAAATGGAGAAGACTAATAACGAAAAAAAGAAAACGCTGAACACCTCAACAGAGTGACTCCTGCTGGGAAAAGCTAATTAAGGCTGTAGTATCTTTAAATCAGATGACTTAAAAATCAAGTACTAAAATCAAAGAGTGCACTTCACAAGCCATATCCAGTCTTTCCACCAAAACTACCAACCCATGAGGCCCAGAAAGGCCCACAAGTTTCTTGTGAGATGATGGCAAGATGTAGCCTTCCTGAGTTCCCACTGGCAGCTGCAGTGTTCTTAGGTGACCCAGGAGAGCACAAAAACTAATTCCTGGACACGTGTATTTGTGTATGCAAAAAGATCAGAAGGATACTAACAGCTCAATGAGGACAGTGATGCTGAAAGGGAATTTTTTATCTTCCCCACCTCTCACACAGCTTTTTGCAACTATCTGTCTCAGCACACCAGGCATAGACACATGACTGAACTTACCTGATGCTGTGCCACAGCAAGGTGGAACCCACCAAGCTGAGGAGAAGATGCTTGTGATCACGTCAGGGGGGAAGAGAGTAACATTTCTCTGGATCTGAAGCAAGTTTAATACTAATGCAAGGAATACACCAATAAAAAACAGCACTACACCACGAATTACCAAATTCATGCCACGACTGGTTACAGATGAAATGTACGGGCCACACTTTTTTGGTAAGGTTGGTGTTGCATCATTTTCTGCCATGACTTCTTAAGTTATCAGAGGCATCCAAGAGGCTGACTGAGGATTCACTTGCAATCAATATTTCAACTCTCTTCAATTAGAAGACACCCAAACCCTGAAAAATAATAAAAAAGAGTGAAAATTCAGATATAAGAAACATTACACGTATTTCCCTCAACTTATTTGGAGATTGGGTTAAAAAAATGCCTATTATATTTTTTCTGAGTTTTCTGAAGAGCCAATTAGTCCTTTGATAGCAGAATCAACCACTGCTGCAAAAATGCCTTACAAAGGGAATAGGTTTCACAAATAGTTTTTTCTACTAGGAGACAGAGGAGGAAATATGTGGGATGGGACAAGTAGGAATGTGAAAGTACATTCCAGGAGGTGAAGAAATGACACAGGTATCAGATGAAAGAAAGGCTTGCTTTGCAGTAAGAATAAATTGGTTTACTCCCTTCCTTGAAGCAACGACTGGAGAGGTTATATAATTCAGCAGCAAGTAAACACAGCCCTCAATTCCACGTCAGCCATAGAGGTTCAGCGATCTCTTTTCTTGAAGAGACACTAAAAAACCATTTCTCAACTGGAAAGTGACAACTCTGAAGCAACTTTCAGGCTGGAGTCAGAATTTCAGCAATCCTGCAAGCATACATGTTTTGCAACCTCCAATAAGAGCAAACAGCTCAGCAAACTACAGCAGTAACTTCAACAGAGATAAATATTTACCTAAGTAACACACACACCTGGTGAAAACTGCCCTACATCATGACAAACCCTGACTGTAATCAGGCACAGAAGCACCTGAGGGCAAAGGAAAAGGAGCTCCACCTCTCTTTGCACTGGGAAGCCTCTGACATGAGTAACTGCCGGCACTACAGGAATGGCAGAGTTCCCACCCCTATCCCTTCCTCAAAAACAAACAAAACCTGTCCATCATGGGTCTTGTTATACATGGATTCAGGGCCACACTCATGTACAACAGCGATTTTGATGGACAGCTTAGCCACCTGGAACTTCAGAAAAAAAGCCCTGACATTGTTTTTAAATCTGAAACTGCCAGCTGGTAGCGGCTTCTGTTAACTCTTATTTATGGCACATGGGGAGCCAAACCAGAACATCCATCCCCTTTCCTCTCAGCTCCAGCCAGCCAGGAAGCTCTCTGCAGACACAGCAGCAGAGCAGAGGACTCAGCATTCATTCACTTCTGCTGACTGAAAGCCAAAAGGAAAGTTAAATACATCCAGGCTAGTTAAGATACTCCAGCCAACTGCACAGATGTGATGCCACACCATAGCATACTCCATCACATGATAATGTTCTGACAGACAGAAAAAAAAAAAAAAAAAAAAAAGAGGATAAAAAAGAGAAAAGTTCTCTTCATACAAAACTTCCCAGTGGCAGTTTGGGGAGGCAACAGTGTCTTCCTAAGAACACGGGCTCTCTACACAGCCAATTCCCCACGTTCCTTATAATCATGAACACACCTTGGGGGGAAAGGGAACCACCAAGGTGTGAGGCTTCTTGTCTGCTTCCTGAGTCAGACTGCCAGCCCTGATGTCTGTATCAAGGCTGGCACTGGCACTGCAACACTTCCTTGGAGCAAAAAGGAGGTGCTCCAGACTTTTCTTTCCTGCTCTGGATGGCACAGCACTGGAGCTTAGCATACTTGGATCAGCCTTTTAGCCTCCAGCAAACAAACCATGGAGTCACAAAAACATCACTATTTCTACTGAGAATCTCCCTCGTGTTCCCTGGGGCTTTGGGATTACCTGGGATTACACCAGGTAATCACTGGAATTCTCTGAATTTACAGGAGTCTTTCTAACACAGGCTGTTGGAAGCTGCAGCTCCCATTACAAACTCTGCAGGAATACTGTGCCTAACATGGGTTTTCAAACTGTTATGTCCCTGCTCAGCTTTGGCTTGCCTAGGGAAATAAACTAAACTCTTAACTCTCCACTTCACCATCCCAAGGGCTTTTGGCACTTCCTGAAGTCTGCATATCCCTTTTTTTAAATGCATGACCCAAGCTGATATATTAGGAAGCTCACACTTTTAGTTCTTCCTCTAATGAGCAGCACACAGGATAACAGTTTCTTTTTTCAGTCATAAAGTGAAATGTCCTGTGATCCTTTACTTATTCAAGTCTCCCCTCCTTCCTGTTCCTGCAGTCCTTGTTCCCTGGCACCAGCTCCAGACCTTGCACACTGCACTTCAGCCCTTAGGTGTCATTTATGTCTGACAGCCAACTTCAACCCACTTTTCCTGCAGGATCTCTCAGTCCTCTTTGGCCCTGCAAATGCTGCCAGCTTTGGGTCATCAGCAAGCATCTCACTGCATCCTATTTTGTGCACCAAGCTTATCAACTAAAATAAAATCATAGGATGTTTTGGATTGGAAGAGACCTTAGAGATCATCTAGTTCCACTCCCCAAACACTGAGAGAGACTGGACTTCAGTCAAAGTCCTGTCTTTCACGAAATCTAGAAATAATTTCCCTACATTGATTATTTCCCCATTTTACACTCTCTCTTGGTATCTCTCCCTCTAACAAGACTCTGCTTCTTGTAATTCTTCATCTACAGGAATCTTCAGCCTAACTAAGAATCATCAACTATCGTACATGGCCATACTAATGTAAACACTGATTGGCTCTTACTGGTTTTCCTCCTAGAAGTGCTGATGATCAAGTAAAAGTCCAATTTTATTCCCATATAAATCACTTTCAAATCATAAAGCCTGCATTTGTATAATTTCCACTTTTTCAATATGCCATTCAGCAAATTCATATTTAGTTCTGAATGCTTATCTAAATGCAACAGGAAGGAAATCACTCACTGCTTTTTCACAACCACTGCAGGTGCAAGTTATTTAAGACACCAGAACAGATTTTTATTAGCAGGTAAACAGCCTGACCACAGCAAGGGCACCTGGGTAGGAACATACTGACACATGTTTATGAAAGTAATTCTAAGTCCGAAACTAGTGTGATGTAGTCGTTTGCACCTGGTGAGAAACCACCACCTACACATATAATATAGTTGTTTTATCAGTTTCCAGATTTTCCACTGACCCTGAGACTTTCTGGCACGCCACAGAGCAACTGGGGAGCACAGCAAAGGGATCAGTGCTCAGGAAACATTCTTCATTGCCCCAGACAGCCGAGGTTCACAATACCCTGGCACAGCACAGATATACACTATCATCACCTCTCATGGAAATTAAATTACTACCTCTAAAGACACCAGTTCCTTCTGACTAGGAGGCCACTGTTCCTGCAGACAGCAGAGACTCTGTCTCTTTTAAGCCTTATGTTTTACTGCAGGTTTCCTCTCAGACAGGAACTGATCACAACATATTGAATCAACACGATTTCTGAGCCTTCATTTCCTGGGGAATGCACATTCCCAGCTGTAGCACGGCACCGAAAGCCGCAGGCTTGGCACTGCCGGAGCCTCAGCTGCCCTTCCCTGCTCGCTGGCACACGCGGACTGCAGCCCGAGCTTTTCAACACACCGCGCACCGTGCACGGCTCGCAAGGCAGCCACACGGTGTCTGGCATTGCGCAAAAAGTTAACAAGTAAATTATCACCCTGGACATTTTTAATACACTTAATCACTTAACTGTCTCCTAAGGAGAAGATCCCTCCTGCTCCCTTGTGCTCTCCCTGCGCACCGAGAGCGATTCACAACTTCTGACACCGCACAAACACACTGGGCACGGCGCGCTGAGGCCGACAACGAGAGGGTTTACTTGGGCAACACCACGCAGAAGACGGCAAGAACCCATCCGTCTGCAGCGAGGTAACGCCAAAAGCAAACAAA